ATATCCACTGTCGTACCCATCCTCATACTCATCTGCCCTCGCGGGTGTTCATAATTCAGTTCTGCATATGGGAGTATAAGGTTGAGTGTAAAGTTGGAAAGTTACATTTATTGCAGCTTGGTGGCAGCAGTAAGTGGTTTTCAGTTTCCCATTTTGATTTCAGCCTGGTTGGAGTCCACATTTCTCGTAATTAAATATTGGGTATATGAACTGCTGGACAAGAATACAGCACATTTATTTCCCTGTTGAGTGTTAAGTTTGCTGAGAAACACTGGAGAATATTGTGTGAAAAGGCTGCCTAGATAGATGGCCAGTTGGCCAGATGGACAAGACATCTGGACTGCCTGTGTCTAGTCCCAGAAGAGAGCAGCCAGGAGCAGTGTGTAGGGCTGCCTGGTCACTCTTTTTATGACAGCAAATAAAAGTAACAGATTGATTAGTTCTGGGGGCCACAGTGTAGGAATTTGTAAGACTATAAAATTCCTTACATCTAGGGGAAAGGAAAAAAAAAGGTATTTTGTAAGATACCCATATTCTGATCTGTCATAATGCATTTGCTAAAATCATCCAAGGAATTCCTCTATAGTCATAGCTATGGTTACCATACAACATCAGAGCGAAAATGTCTTTATTACTGTCACTATAGCTTTCCCTTCAATGCTATTTGATTTCAAATTTATTTGGCTTTTTCGGCTAGGACTATACCATCAGATGTTGCTTGACCCAGCTGTATAAGCAGATACAGTGTAGACCTAGATTATACTAACACGCTGCCAACAACTTTTGCCAAGTTAAATAAAAAGTAGATTGGAGGAAAGTGTGCACGCAACATACTGTAAGTTTTATAAAATACTGAAAGGAAGTCGCTTCCTAATAATACATTTGTAAGCACTTTTTGAAAACATAAAAAAAGACTTTGCAAAGATACACTCCTCACAAATTTTATAGAAAAATCATAGATTATACTAACCTATTAAGAAGATCTACTTAAGCCTTCTTAGAGTAATAAAAATTAAATGTTAAATTTTACACAGTTAAATAATATAGTAAGATTTACCTAAATTGCTGTTAAATGTTGGGTATATGGAGGTATATGGAAGATTCTAGGAGTAACAGTTACAATTGCGGACATAAGAATTTCTTTATTTAACCATCAGAATCTCAGCAATCAACTAGCCAGTGACCTAGATTCAAAGATTTTTATTATTAAAAATCTGTTATTAAGACAAAGATATTACCTTTTAGAGAAATACATAGGCATTGCAACATGATGTTGATTTCTGCTGAAATACCAATTGTATATGGTCATCCATACAAGTTATTGAAAGCATCGGGAAAGTTATTGCATATAAATACCCTAAGATATGGCAGTATGGATGCTTAAAAGATGGAATGTTTTAGTGTTAAATGGAGTTCAGTCTTGCATAATGACAAATGTGACCAACACAAAATTTGTGTTGATGGATATTAATATTTCAGTACTGCCGGGGCCCACTGCTTTGTATATTTTGTGATTTTCTGACTTCCTGACGTATTAAAAAAAGTAGTAAATGAAACATAGTATTCCCTATTGTGAAGAGGCCATTTAAAAAACTGATTTCTTGGGAAGGCAGTGAGCTAGCTTGTGCAGTCGTAAAAAAAAATAATTCTGTTTTAGATTTTCGTCCACAGGTGTTTTGGTCAGCGGTATAAAAGCCCACTGCTGCTTTGGGGTCTTTGTGATGGAATTATTGCTTCTACACTCTAAGAAGACGTGGCATCTGAAGCCAATTAAAATTTTCACAGGCTTACATTGCAGTTTTTCAATGTCTTAAGCTAGTTAGTTTCAAGAGAAACCTTTATTTGAAATTTTGAAATATCTTTACTTGATACCCATGCCTAATGCGTGGCAATTAAACCTGTCCCTCACTCATTTACGATTTCATAGCAGTGTGAGTCATGCATTTGATAAATTATGTTCTTATCAGCAGTTGACTAGGTTTGAATTTAACCATTTATATCATACCAGGAAGTGGGTGATCTTTATCTTTAGATGGGCATCATTAGTTTAGACCTGAACATTCCCAAGTAAAATAAAAGAAATCCAACAAGATTAAATTGAACTACAAATAGCATGTTTAGATGGTTCTTTAGATCTTAGAGGTAAGTTGTACATCACCTTACCTTAACCTCCTTATTGGCACTCTTCTTCCTGCTTTGCCAAAGATACCAGGAACCTGAAATAAGCTGCAGCTATCACTGCTTTGCCATTTCAACCAGTTAATTATGGCTAAAAAGGGAAGACTTATAAATCTTAACATGTAATAGGTTTATTCCATGCTGAAAAAAAAGAAGAAAGAGAACACAACGTTTCGGCCGTGGAGCCTTCTTCAGGTGTGAGACACCTGAAGAAGGCTCCACGGCCGAAACGTTGTGTTCTCTTTCTTCTTTTTTTTCCAGCATGGAATAAACCTATTACTTGTTCCTTTGCAGCCTACTCATGCTGACGCAGCTCCCCACCTAAATCTTAACATGGCTACTTAATCTGATGTGATTGTTTCTGCTTTCTTGCAGGGACCTGAAGGGTGTGGTGGTTACCCTGAGTTCTGAAGGTCAGCTGCAGTGCTCCTACTTAGGGACAGACCCTGCTCTTTACCAGGCTCCGAAAGTGGAGGCCAGGGAAATAAACTATGAAGAAATGGATTCCGAGATGAAAGAGCTGCAAAAGATAATCAAAGAGACATCTAAGGTGCAAGGTAATTGACTTCATCCGTGGCGGTCTATCGGCATGTTTAATTTTGTAGAATTCACAGTATTCATCCACAAGTGGATTGCTAAAGGTTGTCCTAACAGAATTGCACACAACTTAGTGTTCACTTTATTTGCTTAATTAACTAGAACTGTATCTGATCTAATGGTCCTGAGAAAGGCTTTTCAGCAGGCAGAACATCTGTAGTGTTTCAGACTTTTATAAGGGCTAGCTTTCTAATACCTTTTTTGATTATTGATTAGTTCAGCCACTAATGAAATCCTAACTACAGATGCTGCATAATTAACTATTAACCTTAACTTCTCAGAAAGACTGTGTTAAAACAAATGATATCTATTCAGTAAAACTAAACTCCAAGACCTGACATATTTTCTCAACATAACATTGAGGAATTTCGTGACTAAAATTATTTCCCCTAGTTTTTCATAAACCGTTGGGATTATATTGCTGCGATACACTTTCCTGCAAAATATAACAAAATAAACCTCCCAGATGGATGGTTTTCTGTGATAATAAATCTGATACTGTGGCCCATTTATCCCATGACCATTGCCCCAGTTACACTCACTATAAGACTGTTGACTTCACCTGTTCTGAAGCTGCAAGGTAATCCCTGTGGGGTTAAACTGTGCTAAGTATCCCAAGAAAATATTAATCACTGGTTGGTGTTAGTGTTTGGAAAAGATATTTCAAACTTCAAAGAGTGCCTAGAATAACAACTGAAATGCTGATTTGCAGCTTTGTGAACCTTGCACTGATGGTACATTACATTCGTACGAAGAATTTATTTACTCATCTGATACACAGGATGAAAGTGACTCGCTCTGTGAGAGCTGTTACAGCAGTAAGTTGTTGACTATGGAATTCTTACAGCATCGTCTTACCAGAATTACATTGTTAACAAGGCAAAACGCATTCTAGACCTCTAAAACTGTACCAGTTAGAGGTTACGATACACTCTGTTTTATTAATAAGGCATCGTCCTTCATGTGGATATGCACAATTGAAATAATGAATAGTACGGTTTACCAGAACACAGTTTTAAGGGTTGTAATATAGTGTAAGCATTGTATACAGATTGTTACATAATTATGTATTTCCCAAAATAAATGTAAATGAATGCGTATAAAGAAAGGAAACGAACTTTGGGTAATCTTCAAAGCAGTAGCTCCCATGATCGGATGTAAAACATGCACTGCTTGCTGTGGATTGCGTACGTTTTTATGGTTAATTTGATGTATCCTTATTTCTGTATGTTTTTAGAAGAGTGAGGTTTATTTCTTTTGAAACCGTACAGGGTGATGACATAAGGTTTTTGCGTCCTCTCTGCTGCTGGCTGGAGGGGAAGAATCCTTAACCATTCAGAGGGCTGAAGGATTTAATATCTGTTTTTGTAAAAAAAAAACTTGCGTAGCTCTTGAGCTTTTGCATTAAAATATGGATAGAACCTATGTCAGGTCTAGTCTTATTCATGGGTTGTTGTCCAGATGCTTCAAAATGTATTTTGCAGTCCTTCAGTTTCTACAGTATATCTCTCCCTTACTTGGATGCACTGCCTTTTCCCAGCATCCCCTTTTTATCCGCGTCTAATGCTCTAGAACTAGTGTGAAATTAGACCAAAACGTTCAGCAATAATTGCTTTGTAGTTGGGGAAGGTCCCCAGTGGTAATATTGCAGAGAGTGTAAGAGTAACAAGAAGTAACCGAAGAAAGAGTATATTCAAAATATTGTCTGGATGCACCTGAGTGCCTGTACATTATCACTTTTGCCTTTTTTTTGCAGACATTTTGCCTAAGGCTGACAAAGAAGATGATTTGACAATAACACCCTCCATCTCTATTAACATGGACACGGTGTCTGTAAGTGAACTCATTAATATCGCCATATAAACGTGTAGAAAATTAACTTACTCACACCTGTGTTTAATTTAGAGTTCATTTTTCCAGTTCAGCTTAATTTAAAGTGAGTAAAGAAATAAAACGTGGTTTCCTTTTTTGAAAAGATTGATAGTTTTTTTCTGAAATCTGTTGTCCAAAAGGGCTGAGCTATGTAATATTTCCAAAATCAAGTTTTTCTAAGTGCATATTAACATACTACTTGTTTCAATCCCGAAATTGCCACCGTCGTGTGAAATGAATCTGTTTTTTAGGCAGATCATCATTGTTGATTTCTCTTTACTTACTGTAAAGCAAATTATACACTACAGTGTCTGCCATACGTGAGTCATAGTTTCAAGTATTTTTAATTAAATGCGGTTTATTTTAGCCTTTGGCAGACATCCAAAAGCAGTTCAAACGTGTATTGGTGACATGGTTCTTTGTTTTTTAAATAAAACAACCAGACTAGTCAAACACATCCAATGTAAACTACCAGTCACAATAATATACTTTTGTGAATGTCTTACAAAGATATAATATCCCCTTAATAAATAAAAAAACATTGCACCTTTTTCCAGATATTTCATTTTACTGGTGCACATTATATACTGGATATTAGTTTAGCGTGATCTATACTGTATATATGCAACTATATAACTGTCAAAACGTTCTTTAAAAGTAGTGTAAATTGGTGGCATGTACTGTATTTCTGCTACTCCATTCTTAGATCCATATTTGATGCATAACAGTCTAAGTGATGCTTAAGAGCCAAATTTGTGCTTGACTTGCTTGTGGTATTTGAAATGTGTGCCAGCAAAATAATAAAATGTGATATAAAAATAAAAACAGGTGGCTATATGACCTACTGATGAGGTTTATACTGTATACACCTATTGATATAAATCTAGATACATTTTTTTTTATTTCCTTACTTCTTACTTGATAGGGTCTGCAATAGTTTAATATAATTTGATTTCTGGAGAACAATTCTAAACACAGTTGATCCTCCTGAGAGACCAAACCACATCTTAGAACACGATCTTGTTACAATACCTCCAGCATAGGTAGCAGCCTGTTTAGTTGTACAGCCATTTAGAAAAATATGTATTCTAAATAAAGAAAATGAGCAACAACAGAATATTGATCTGTATACAGAGATGAAATCTGACATTTTTGTAAAGAAATCTAATAATATTAAATCATTCAAATCCAGATCCCGACAAAGGTATTTAACATGACTTTGATATGTCGGTGTGAGCCCTTTAAGGCTGCGGATTTTTTCATTTCCTAGTTTGCTTGGCATTGCTTATTTTTATTCAGCTTTTATCTATTTCGAATTATCACTGCCCTGGTGTTTCAGTCAGATTAGTCTTTGAAAAGGAATTCTGATTTTCACCTGGAATACGCATTTTAAGCAGAAGCAGATTTAAGTCACACGCATGCAGTATTAAGGGGCAGTGTGCCATGTAGTTGTTCTTAAATAGCCGATTTTGGTATTTGTTTTTGTAATCATCAGGACACACAAAGGTAACATGCACCCACACAATAGAATATACAAAAGAAAAACAACAGGAATACATCACATGGTGCTCTCAGGAAACTTAGGAACATAAAATTTTACGAAACAGTGCGTAACTTTGTATCTTTTTTTATTTTGTAGCTGATTGATGGTTAGTTAATTGTCTTGGTTACCAAAACAATTGTCATTGCTTTGTCTGATTTCCAACTTCAAATATTACCTGTAATTAGTAGTGTTCAGTACAAAGTTAGGCTTGATTGTAATAAGTTTAGAACTGTTGAAAAGTTCATACTGTAAAACATAAAGGAGTGCCAGCATAACAATGTATTCTTATTTTTTCACTGTGCAGAATATAAGAACAGGACACTGGTTTTGTGTAAGTTGTGGTTTTGCGTTTTTTGTAATGGTCATGGTTTCTTTTGCAGCAAGCTGCCATCTCTGAAATAGGAGGATTAACTGTCCCTTCTATCACAGTAAAGGTACTGTTTGTTTTTTCCTGAAAGGATTTACAGAAAGATGATTTCACATTTTCAATGGTATCACTGGTATCAGGATTTTGTTATGGTGTAAAACCCTACACATGACAAATAACACAAGCCAAAGAGCAGTGATTCTTTTTTAGATAGACATGCAGTCAAAGTATTTTAAGTCGTGGAATTACTAGTGAAAACAGAATGGCCTGCTTTCTAAGGCAAAAATGTGAATGATTAATTTATGAAAGGGAAGTCAGGCTATTAATCTTGTGCTCTGACTCTGAAATTGTTACTTTTAAAAAGTGAAAGTAGAATTGAACCACCTGTATTTCACATTTTGAAAAACAGTACCTTGCAAATCTATATGTGTAGCCAGAGCAGCTTTTTATATGACTAATTTGTGCCTAGGCGTTTGAAAATGCACAGTGTTATGTGGTAATATTTGATCCTTTTTCTTTGTGTGTGATCAGATCAAAGCGAAAAGCAGAGTGACAGTGCTGAATCCCAAACTGACAGTGTGTGTTCAGCCTCCTTTGGCAGTCACTCGGGAGCAGTTTGTTTTAGATTCAATGGGTAAGTGTCACAGGACATGTGTCAGGGCTGTAGTACCTGCTGCAAAGCACAGACCTAAATAAGACATGTCAAAGCAATTTGAAATGCAAAATGTAATGATAGAACAGAAAGTACAGGTATTTCATATTCATCCTCATGCTTTTTCATTAAACTTTACTCAAAATAAGGTACAGTGCTCTGATAGTTCATGTACTGATGTACCTGAAACAGAGCAAATGAATATGTAGTGGATATGTTTCTCTGTACAAATACAGTAGATTTGTATTCTTATGGAGATAAATATATATTTAATTTTGTATATGAGAAAACACATACTGTAGTAGCTGGTTTTAGTGTGAACCTCAGTGAATTAATTTATTCCGAAAAAATTCTTAGCCTGTAAATGTATTGTTACATTATATTTGTATTGGCTACACTATTAATTAAATTAACGTGAAATTAATATCAAAGATGTGCTTATTAGATGAATGCAAGAGTTTTCAGGCCCCATGCTTTTTACCAGGACAAACCTGTCAACAGGCTAAAGCCTGTCGCAGAACAAACAAGCATTACTTTTTTTTTTGACAATGATATATTGCTTTTTTCCTTAATAACTGGAGTCTAGATAAAGTAACAGTTGTAAATGCTCATAACATACATTTACATTTTTGTTACACAGAACTATTTATTTGAAAGTAAAGTCATATTTGTATCTTTTGGTGTTTATTTTTTCACAAAATTATTTCTCACTCTGAGTCTGCCCTGGATTGGGTTTGAGTGAACTTGTTTCTTCATGAATGCTGTCTATCAGAAGGTTGTCCAAACAACCTACTCTTTATTGGTTAGTGGAAGTACTGGTGTATTTTTCTGTGAAAACTGACTCAACACCCTCCAGAGTAAGTGCAGAATTATATTAGTTACAAGCCAAATTTTTTAAATTAACACCTAATGTTCACAAATGTTAATTTATGTTTCACTTGAGTTGAGAATATCAACTTGTTTTACAGCCTTTTAAACAAACTTTGAAGTGATTAGAATTTGGCAGACCCTCATGCACCTAACAGACACACTCTATTGCAGTGGCCAACTAAAATGGGATGTTTATTGGTTTTGTGTGCCCTCTCTTAGCTTCATACTTGGCCTTCATTAGTATTTAAAAAAAAATAAAAAGTGTACATGTAAATTGTCAGAGTTCTTCAAAGAAGACTATTGTACAACTTGACTAAAAAGTTTGTCAAGTGTGTGGCCAGGTGTCGGTAGCAGTATCTTAGAAAGTAATTTTGATCTTCAACTGTTTATGCATTTTATCTGAAGCACAGAATATATCGTACTAGTTCAGTGAATCAGCCAGAAATATGGCTTCGATATTTGCATCTAAAAGAAATAATCAAGTGTTCCAGCGTTTCCCTTTCCTCTGGCTTGAAATCATTTCATATCCAAGGGTTTGGAAAAGTGAGTGTGAAGTTACTAAGCCAGCTGTTTAGTAATAAACATGTTTTAAAATGCAAAGTGATCTCTCTATGCTTCTACTTAAGTAACTCAGCAGCTCAACTAAAATTAAAACTTGTACAGATTAAAAAAATAAATAAATGTATAACCTCATTGTCTGTTTATTATAATCTGTGTATAAATGTCCTGCCTTTCAGTAAAATCAGTTATCACAGTAACAGTAATCTACATTTTGCAAACTGGTACACATTTTCACAGGGCAAAGAATTATGTACTATATACCTCTTAAATGAGCAAAGTTGAAGATCTTTCCAATTAAAACATTTAGTTAACAACCATGTGCCTTGTTTTTTTATTTTCTTTTTTTTTTGCTTTATTGTTTAAATAGTTCAGATATATTAAAACGTCATCTCAAATAAAGCTTTTAGCTTGGAAAAGTCGCTGTTTTAAATTAGGGTTTTCTTCTTTTCAGATGGTGCCTAAACTCTTACATTCTAGATTCTGCAATGTGTTTTTTGAGAAGGACTCATACAGGGTTGTTCATTTGAAAGACTTAATTAGTAATGCTAGAAGAAACCACAGTATGTCTGGTACCAAGTTCCATCTATCCATCTGTCTTCATCAGTGGCACATATAATACAATACTTTGTAAGATGTGCCTGAGAAAACACTTCATTCTGTCTATATTTAAACCTACATATAAACAGTTCTCACATTTACAGGTCAGGGGCCTCTTACTTATTCATAGTCATGTATGAGCAGATGTGGAGGAGAAATTGCACTTTATATACCTTTATTTTATAATCAAATATATATTTGTCTGAATATGCGTAATGTATGTGGAGGGAGTAATGTTTTTATAGACCGCTATGGTGTTAGAGACCTAAAATAAAAAAAACATTTAAGCAGATGCCAACAGCATTCATTCCTGTCTTGCCTTGAAGGTGTCATTCTCTACAGAGGTGGTTTTTTTAGTGCCACCATGTGGTTAAGCAGGAATGTTGCACTTTTTAAAGGGAGTTTCGGTGCTTCACACCCCATTACCTGAAATGATGATAAACAGTACTAGAATTACACTCAGAGCTTGGTTTATTTGTTCTGTTATATATCTGGCCTGTGGAATGTGATTCTGAAGTTCATCCTAAAGTACTAGGCATACTTTTACTGACTTGAGAGGCTGACATTAATATTGAAGAAGGTTAAAAGAGGTTGGAGACAAAGTGTTTCGTTTACGTGGGCAAAGAAAAGGAGCTTGGAAAAAGAGCTTATATTCTTTGTTTTTCTTCATTTAATGGTGTCAACCTTCAGTCCGGCTCCCAGTGAAAAAAACACGTTTCGCACTGTTTATAACTGTGTAGAGGTATAAAGGTTAAAAGCTCGTTTTTATGCTTAATGTAGCTTCTATTGAAAATATGTGTCATCATGTCAGTTGAGTTGATGCAGCACAGGGAAAGGGCTGCAGGCAGTGTTGGATAGTGCTGTGCTGATATAGAAACTGACTGCCGCTGACTGTGATGAACAATTGAAGTTCACATACTTTGCTGTTAGAAACTTGCTGCACTATCATGGTTATTTGTGGGAAAAGTTGCCACAAATGCAGAAAGAACAAAATGTAAAGTGCTATCGTTTTTGTTTACTAATGTGCTGCTTTTGACTTCTCAGAGCTCTACTAGAATATAAACAGATGATCATTCTTCTCGTAGAAGTTTGTTTTTCTGAAGAACAGCGTTCATAAATATCTTTTTTTTTTCTATTTTGACCTGCTAATCTCCACTGTTTTTATTTTCAGATAAGAGTGTCCCCCCTTGGCATACTGAGGTTTTATCACTTATTTGATGAAATGTGGTTTTTCCCTTACAACTCTGCACACTAGGAGAAAAAAAATATTGGATTTAAATCAATGTTTTTTGGATGTACTCCAGAAAGCAAAGAAATTTCATGCACTATTCTTTGAGGCTCTTATTGAATTGGTTTTCTTATCCACTAATACCCATATAAACTATAAAGTATCTAACATATATATATATTAGATAAAATCATCTCTAATGTCTGTGGTTTATTAGCAAAGTAATGTGTTAATTTGTGCAATATTATGTTTAAACAATTTTGAAAGAACAGCCATTTACCCCTCTATAATATTCACAATCAATCAATCACAATCAATAAAAGATTACTCGTGATATACATGTATGTTTAAATTATAATTATTGATAAACTCTGTTTTCTTTGATAGCTTCTGTAAGTCTTACAGTCCTTACTCTCATGAAACTGAGAATGGAACAACACGTGTACAGAAAAATTATATTAAAACGTTAGTCTGAAGGTAGGGACTTATTGAATTGCAATGTGTATTGCTAGGAATTCTGTACAACAGTCTCTTTTTTGTTGTCCTTTCTGTTATTAACTAGTTAAAATGTCATTATTTAATTGATTGAATTATAGAAATTTGGTTCTTATTGAATGTTCTTCATAAAATTGATACACAGTTACAAAAGGTTATACCACAATATTTCTTCCATCAAATAAAGTGTTTAAAAATGTGTGCCATTTAACCATCACAGTCCTTTAATGTGCACACGGATACAGACTGCAGATGAAAGATGAAGGTATAGCTGAAAAAGAGATGGCTATTGTCTTCTCTCTTTTAAGTGTAGAATATTGGAGGTTTTGTTATTATCTGAATTCTAAGGAGGAAAAAATCACAAAGGAATCCTTCTTCTGTGTAAATTAAATGCTGGAAGTTTCTTAAGCTTGCTCCCTTCCTTGATGCTTAAACAGGGATCAATAGTGCTGTGAAATCTGAAATTATTTAAATCCTGCAGAAAGATCCTCTCTCAAGACTGTACCTTAACACACTGCAACCTGCCGGCTAATCACTGGATGAACATTTCCCAGATGATATCTCATTAGGATCTGACCTTTATAGAAACCTGTACTTACTCTTCATTATTTTTACTTACATAGTTTCTTTTGGAGGGATGAGAAGCATGTCTTATTTATGGAAAACCTTTCCCCATCTGCCTTAAAAAGGATAGTGTGCATTTTAATTTGTCCTGAAATGCTTTTAAAATGACAGATGGTATGTCAGAAAACAAAATACTAAATGCAGTATAATTACCTATGGAAGCTCAGCGTCAGCACTGGTATGTCCTCTGAGATCTATGATATCTACACAGTGCCGTAGGTATTCCTTAACATTTCCTCAGGTGAAATGTGATCATAACTCATTCCCATTTGATTTAAGACAAAAGCTGGATGCACATTTTACCTTCATTGATGAGTAAATGGCATACTTCAACTCTGGGGTCAAGTCATGTGTCGTAGTGAGGCTCTTATGGTTTGTTTCACATCAATTCATTGGGTAATTTAAAGAATTTCAAACATTTATAACAAGAAGGTTAATATTAAAAGGCTCCTGAAAACTATCATAAAATCTTTTAGAAAAATCATTGTGTTTGCTTTATTTAGCATTGACAATGTGTATTTTTTGTGGCAATTAGTCTTTTTTTTCCTTTATTGTATTTTGTAACTTGGTTTTTAATGAGTAAGTTGTAGAAAAATGTCTTGACAAAGACAACACATTCAGGTTGCTCAGAGTAGAGGTCGGTGTGGTAAGTTTAACTATTTGGATTTGTGATCATGAGGTTAATATGAATGATGAGTGCAATAGTTACGAATATCTATTTGATCATCTCAACAAAAACATGCTGTTGTTCAATCCATTCATACTAAGTCATCGGGACATATTTCCTATATGTAAATTTGAGGATGAATCTTGGTATTTGATTTCATTATTCATTAATGGCAAACACTGCAACCCATTTAATTTACCAAACTTTGTGTAAAGTTAAAGTCTCGTCTGGTAATTATAACCGTGGTTACTTCCTTCTTTATTATATTTCATTTATATGGTATAAATCGAAATGGTTGATTTGACTATTTCCATTTTCTGTGCTGTGGTTCTGATTGAGGTTTTCCTTCAGCTTCAGAATTGGCTGCTTTTCTTGAACAAAAGTGCTACGGTTTCCACTTTGACTTTTGACTCCAGACTCCAGACACTGAAGTCGAAGTGAGACGGGTTGATAGGATGTTCACAGCTCTTTTATGAGTGCAATCGGCAGCGGTTAAACACCCGAACAACATGAGACACCTATCAGCCAACTGTCCTAATAACTTTGCTTCTTCAACATAGAAGTTTAAGCCTATCAATTTCTTTAATTGACCCAGGAGGTTAGAGCTGAATTGTTGAGCTGAGTTGTCAGTTTGTGTTTTGTTCATTATGAAATTCCCACATTAGACTTCACTGTTCCAATACTATTGGAGGGCACAGTATTGACTTCTCTCTGTAGTTTCATAACTTGTATGGAAGTCAGAAATTTCTGTCAGACCTTAAAACGATTACCCTGCCATCCCAGATCCTAGAAAATATACAACTTTGGCCGTTTTTACTAATTAAAGGAAGATTGCTCATTTTCTGATGTCTGAACTCATATTATTTAAAAATATCATTGGTTGCAAATGCTAGAAATATTTAGAGTATAATTTGATTTGCTTTAGGATTTGTTGATTTTGTTTGAGAGTTAGATGTTATTGTGGAGGAAACCATACTTTTAACAACACCATTAAGGGGGTGGTAGTGGAAACTCTTTTGGTCTATTTGAAGCTTTTTTTAAATATATTTAAACAGTGCATTATTTCTTAAAACACAGCATGCACAGCTTTGTTGCAAGTTCCCCTTTTTATTTGTGAGAATAGGAATGGCCATCTTAATGAGAGACAGGCGTGCATGGCCATACGGGCAACAGCAGTGTTGATATGTTGAACTATGACCAGAACTCTTATGTCTGATTTTTTTAAAAAAGCTTTGGAAATATCTTAGTAATATAATTTCCATTATACAAACTATGAATACAGAATAAACTACCGTGTCTTATTGCTTTAAATGTGTCCTATAGATCACTTTACCACTGTTTTATAGGACCGGGATCATCTATTTTGGTGGTGTTTTCTGCTTTTCTGAATGGGGAGTACCCACCAGCTGATTTAGGAGGAGATGTGGCAGTTTCCTACAACACACCTACAGGTCAGTCATGTCAAACCAACCAAATTTTTCCAGAAAATTTGTATTTTTAATGTCTTTTGCTTTTTGTTTAACCCTGGAACTTTGTCTTAGAATTCGTTTTTTTTTTTATAGCAAGTGTAGCAATGTGTTACCCTTGAGTCCGTGGAAAATACAGAGTATGTGCGTTTTGTAATGTTTAAACCTCATTTGTTTGTCACAAAGTTTTCTGTCTGGAATTCAGGAGAATTTCACCAGTCTGCACAGCAAGTCCAGATATCAGTAGACTGAAGTAAAATTATTGGTCCCAAGGACAGCATTTGTGATGCAGCAAATCATTTTCATGGAAATCTGGTACTCATTCAACTATTACCTCAAGCTGAGCAGCACATTCTGCTAACAGTACATAAAACATTTCATGATGAACTACATACATTACAATGTGCTTAATTGGACTGGTGTACAGTATCCCCATTCAGGGCTTGGTATAGGAAACAGGAATAATACTGTTTTCAGAATGGTATACCATTAAGGTCTTTAACCCTTTAATGACAAGGACTGACTTCTTAGATAATCAGGGAAATATTGATCAACGTTATAAATGTATAACGTTCACTCAAGCAAAGCGCAAGAGATCTAATTTAAAACATGCAGTTATATGCACGGCACCATCAAGTTGGCTTTTGGAGCTCTTGGAACGTTCTGTGTTGCTGGGATGACTTACAGCCTCCTAGTACAAAGTCTTTTTTAAAATGTAAATTGAAGCATTTGTGCTATTGATTCCTTTGGAAAGTTTTAAGTGGAAATGATCCTAAATGACGTTAAATTTGGAATGTCGAAGAGTTTTTAGGCAGTGTTGTTGTTTCTCTACTCATAAGGCAAAAATGTCAAAGGGCCATTATTTTAAAATCTTTTCCCAGGTTTTAGTGCAAGGCTTCAAATTATAAAACCTTTCATATATTATATTGCACTAGTGAAGCTAAATTTATAATATTGTGTGCCATTGTGATCAACATGTTATGGAAAAGCTTTTGCTGCTCTGGGATCACACTGGAGAAGAGCAATGAGATGCATCCTGGGACTTATGGGAAAGTCCTACACTGACAGGCTCAAGGAACTGAACCTTTTTAGTGTTTTGAACAGATGAGATGATGACATGAGTATCTGAGTATTCTGAATGATCAAAGCCATTGACAAATTAATCCCTGCAGACCTCGTCAGAATGGACAGTGAAACACAAACGGAAACTGTCTAGAAGTTCATAGAAGATCTACATAGATGTAGAAGAGCATTTATAAACCTGGAACAAGAGGCACTTCTTTATCCTGCATGGGAGAGGGGAGCAAGCGGCCCAGCCAGGCTGTTGAAGCTGATACCCTGATTACCTTTGGATGAGATCCTTGGTTTGAGTAGCTGCTAACTACCAACTGGAATAGATGGGCTGAATGACCTCCTCTGGGCTGAATATAACCTTTCTGACGTTCTTAATCTAAACAAATCCGAGTCCCTCTAATTATTATACCATCGTGTGTGTAACATGAAATACAAGACAGTACAGTTTACTTGTCATTTTAATTCAGTGCTTCCTTGTATATCCTATTTTAAGTAATGACTTTGTGAGGGAAAAAAAAAAAACAGAAGCACTGTTTGTATCGCCCCAGTTAATTTACTGCCTGGAAAAAAGCAAAGTGGCTTGAACAATTTAAGCTTCATTTCAAAGATATTTGGTTTGGCTTAGTGCTGAGCAGGAGACTTGAAAGAATTCCAAATTACTGACAGGTTGCTCATTATACATTTTGTTTAAAGGCAGATATAGAAATAAGTGTCAGATCTTAAGACAAGGGTGTTCAGTTGTTGTTTTTTAAAATAGTTTATTGTATTGTATTTTTACATTTTTCTGTTTCTTCCACATTCGGCTATTTCAAGTCAAGAGCCTCCTAGCTGAGATTGAATCTATAAACAACAGAAGCTAAAGGCTCATTTGTTTCTTTGCATCTAATCTCATAAAGAAGGCCTTTTTTCAACTGGTGAATATAATCAGTCATATTGACAGACTTCAAGGGTTGTGGGAGTCTGAAACAAGCTTACCCAGCCGTGTTGTTGAAGCTGATACTCTGGTTTCTTTCAAGAAACAGCTGGATGGTCTCCTTTCATTTGTATATTTTATTATGTTACGTCCTGCCTGCTCTTTCAAATGTACCCTCCCTTTCCCTAGGAATAAGGAATGATTGGTCTTTATTCCTGTAGCTGAAGGACTGGCACATAAAATTTTAACCATGGGGGTTTGGGATCAGGTTGCTTTCCTGTGATCTAGAACCAACCATAGATATTCCCACTCACGCCATTTTGTCATCCAGTGTGACAGTGTCACAGGAGTCAGTATATAAAAGATGCCTCACTGACAAATAAGTGTTGCCTAGCAAAGACTATTTTCTCTAAAATAATTTTGTAAATAACCTGGTTTCAGATACCCAGTGCTAACTCTCATACTACATTCAACCAAGCCCCTGATGTGTTGCAAAATGCACAGTCAAAACTAAGTTTAGAGGGGAAACATCGTTGGGCACTTTTGACTTTTGTACATATTGTTGATTTAGTGTTTGCTGCATTGAAGGAGACTCTCAGAAAAGGAATACGGACAATTCCTTGTTGTATATTCATGTGAGTGTCTGTATTTACACTTATCACAGGGATGAATGTAAAATGAGTAATGTTTCTACGCCATGCTGCCCGTAAACCCACTCTCTCTCTCTCCCGGATCTCTCAGCTACACTGCAGTTGACGGGAAGGGTTTTAAATCTAGGTTCTTACTGCATTTTTAATGAGGTACAGTAGTACATTGTGGGAGGAGAGGCAACCAACAGGAAAAACAAACACCTGCAGTTACAGGGGACAAGGGAATTTACACTTGATGCTTCTTTCAGATTTGATCATGGATTATTGTTAACTAGGGACATGAGGACATATTGATAAAAGTATCCATTGTGCTAAATTTTATGAGGAATGGAAATCATATATTATCATACTAATATGTACTAACTAACTTAAAAATATATTAAAGGTTTTTTACTTTTGTTTTTAACATTGAATTTGCATTTTTTGTTTCAAAAACAGGTGGGGAGATTAACTTTATGTGAATGTTTCATGAATATGACCCTATGTTTAAAACGTTGTTGGAAACAATTGTAACCCGAATTTTCCTTATTTTCTGTGTTGTTTTTATTTTATTGTGAAATTAATTTGGTGATTTAACAACAGTGAAACTTGTGTATACCATCCTCCCAGTTATTTGTACTGCAGAATTATGATAATCACAAAGTCATATTTAAGTAGCTATGTGAGTTGATATCTGTAACCTAGAGTTTATTTTTTCAGTTACGTTTTTGCTGTAAAACACAGTCCTTTGTAATGCTTGCAAAGATTTTTGGATATGGACTTTTCGCTTATAATTGTAGATTCATCACATTCCCATAGAAGCACCGGAGTAAAATTTCCTGGAAGTCTTTAAACATAAATTTAACTGTTGTCCGAAACTAAAGTAGTTCTTAGTCATCTTTAAGAAAGCACAGCTCACTCTCAGTTGCATTCCAGCATTAATGTGAATATATGATAACATGACTCAGTCGATATAATTTTTGGTCATTTCTCCATAATTTATTGTCCTTAAACCAATTACCATTATCATTATCACTAAGTATCATAATTCGATGAATGTTAATGAGTAACCCTCTATTTCATTTGTAGTGCAACTAGTACTCTCTGGAGGAATAATGTTAGGACTGCAACATTTTCCATTATCTGAGTGATACTAGTTATTGTGTTTGTTTTTTGAATTCTTGAGCTTAAGTCTAACATCCAGTTAGTCTATTAAAAAAAAGCTTTGATTATCCTGTGAAGCCTACCTTCTCCTGTGATGTAGCAAGAATTGAGTAGACCATAGTGTTCAACCATTAACAACTTTTGAAAACTCTTACTGATCTACTCTTTTAATGTTGAATCTTCTGTGAGATTACTATTTTGTCTACGTAGTAAATGTTTATAGATTCCTGGGGGCTAACGTGTAGAAGCGTAGTCAGATTTTGATTTTATATCAAAGGTCTTGAATGAAATGTGATTTAGAAACGGTACTCTTAAATAAACAGGGACAAGGGAGGAAAACTACTTTTCTTGTCCTCCTTAAGATGTTTTAATTTGACAATTTTTTGTTTCTCTTTGCACTGCTTTCATTTAACAGAGCTAAACCCCGCAGGTGAGTATGATACTATTTAACTGGTGAGAGCAGAACATTCAGAAGGGGCAGGAAGGCTGTTAAATAGGAATATTTATGTTTTATAGAAATCTGATATGTATGTAGAAAACAGATCCGAAGTGGAAGTAAAGCATTCCAGCATGCTGGCTTGCTACCAAACATCGTTGTCTGCTTCAGTTTTTAAAGATTTACTGATGCTCTGTGCAACAGGTGTCTCCTTCATGTTTTTAAAACAAACGACTCTGATACAGAAGTTAGCACATAATGTGCTTTAAAGAACATTGCAACCTAGTGATGTTACATTTAACCTAAAGAAGTTGTAACCAAGAAAATAGTGAAAGAAATAACCCATGTGCATCAGACTAATAAAACTAAAACTTGTTATTTCATGTGAATTCTTGAAGTTTTGTGATTACATTTCCTTATCCTACCTCATAACTGGTGAAGGTATCACCCCTATCAGCACCACCTTAATTCTTGGACCAACTCTGATAAAAACGGGAGACTTGCTGTCTAGATAACACACTTCTGTATGCTTTTCTCAAAATAAAGGAAGAGACAGACATCTGCAGGGGTGAGCAATACTTAAAGAAAATAGTCACAGGTCACAAGTCTGGCATGTCACTGGCTAAGGAAGTCTGTCAGTATCTACAGTACTGTCAAATCATTGCAGCTGCACAGTGAGAGAGAAAAAAGGCTTTTAAAAGCGAGACCTTAATGCTAATTCTTATATAGTTGATGAGGAAAAAGAAATTTAAATTGCCATAAACCTTCAGTACTGTTATATGCCCTGGATGTAATTGCACTTCAAATGTATTTACTCTGCAGTGCACTTAGATTCTTGTGAATCCAATTGGTACAGATGTTTTACACTATTTATCATTTAGAGAAAATAAACACAAAACTTAAAATCTTAAAATGTGAGCCTTTTGTTTCTATCATTTACATATAAAACATAAGATTGTTATTTCATTTGTAGGAAATGTATAGGACAGTCCAAGTGAAAGATTTATAGCAGACCTTATCAATTCAGTCAATTCATCAAACCACCAGCTCATATAATAGAGGAGCAGCCAGGGAAATGTCTGGACAGCAGATTTATTAACAGGTTTTGTTTTCTGAAAGTGGTGCAGAAGATGCTAGGTAAAACGTTCGCCAGCTGAAAAACCTCATTCTGCATTCCAAAGATTTATTATATGAATGCTTTAATATTGTAACCCAAAGTAATTGTTGGGACATCGACAGATGGTGACATAAACCCTAGAAAGATAAAGGCTTTAGAATAGTGTTCTGTCAAAGTCTTCTTTTGTTTGGCCATGGTTATGGATTGTCTACAAGATATTTAATATTTTCTCTGTGGTACAGCTAATTTTCTTCTCTTCCTAGTTTAGGTTTAAATGACTTTATCCGTATGTTATCAACAAGGGAATCCTTCTTCACTTTGTATTTGAATAATTGAATAAGAGCACCCTCTCTTGAGCAAGTGTGTTTTGACCTAATGTGTGGTAACTGCACTAGAACTGAAAAAAAAAAGTACTGTAAAACATTTGTGGCGTATCTTGTTTCTGAATATCCAATGGTGAACAGAGAGAATACAGACCTGATGATCTTTTTATGCTCAACATGTTCTGTTTCACCATTGAAGCCATATGTACACCAGAGCTGTGCTTCCGCTTGTTCTCACTGGTGACTATAAAAACAAAAGAATACAAGAACGGCACAATTAAACACTTGTACTCTCTAAAAAAAAATAAGCACTGGCAGGTGCAGGTAGAATTTTTAATTGCTCAATTTTTCAAATTGAACCATTTTATTTTTTGGAGGGGGGTGGGGATTGTCCGCAAGGTCTTTATGATATATTTGCAACAGAGAAGCTGTGATTTTTATACACTATCATTCTTCCATGAGCCTCTCTTCTCCTTTCATATTTTTAAAAAATCGGATATGAGCTTGGCAAAGCAAACCCCTATAGTAAACGGGTTAAATTACCTAGCCAGACATAACAGGAAAGAATTAAGGAAGTGCTGGCGACCAGTACTTGCTACTGGAATAGGTCTCCTTTTTTCTTCCCGAAATGACTCTAGCAGGCCGAAAGAAGTGTATAAACCAAAGCAAAGTTGTGTTTTTCCAGTGGTCTTTTAGCAAGTTCGCCACTGTGAATCTCAGTTACTGAACCTCCTAGATAGGGTCTGGTAAAACTCCTGGAGAGCGTATTTGAGGCTCACCAGCTGAAAGGAGAGCTTTGCATGTAAAGCAGAAATGGACAATAAAACTATTAAATTATGTATCTCCAAAGCGAAAATATTCAGAGGGATGGGAATGTCTGTGTGTTTGAAATAGCTAATTGCTGTTATTAATGAGCAAAATTATGAAATCCATACTATTTTCCTGAAATTCACCACATTCTCATTTGTTTATACATTTTATTTTAATTGTTTATGTACATTGTGACAATTTGAAAGCTTAGGTGGTCCCTTTGTCTACAATTTTTTTATCGAGTTACATTAGATGTTGTACACGATGATGTATGACATTGTTACAGTCTCTTTTGAAGGTGTGTTTTTAGATAATTAGGCTTCTCCGTTGACTTCAGTTTAGTCATTTCATTTTCTTTCCCTGTTTTAGGAGTTCCTAGGGTTGCCCAGTGTCAGTTTTCTTTGCCACTAAGGCTAGTTTCCTACCCAGCTTCTCCTTCCAAGAATGCAAATTACAAAATCACCATTGACACAAACAAGCCTCCAGTCAACCTCTCAGAAATCTTCCCAGGTACTGTTGATTTGAATTATATGCTCAGTTTCCTTGTTACCTTCTTTTTTTATTTTATATTTTTACAAGCATTGCATTTCAATAATTAGTTTGTAATTTTAGTAGACTAAACATATAGGATGTGTACTGACATCCTTAAGCCAGTATTTGTTGCTACGTGGTGTTATTTAGGATTTAGAACAAATGGTCGTTTCTTTTAAAAAAAGAAAAGTTATATGATAGTTTGGCAACTGTGAATTTATCCATTGTTTACAGTGTGATTTTTAAAAAAATAATTGGACATTCAAAAATGTGTTTTGATTTCTTTGGTTATTCTGTGTGTCAGCAAATATCAGGCTTAAACTCTTTCCAGATGTTGTTTTGTGAAACATTCCCATCCCTTAAAACTAATGTTAGACCTGTCCTCCAGGATTCTGTCTTTTCTGGGTTGATGATCGGGAACTGGGGATCACGTCTCGGAAAAATCTTTTGCTTGCACTTAAAAAACAAAATAGATCTGCAGCCTACACTTGTGTGGCGAGCAGTCTTAGATAAGGAGCAAAGTTGTTGTGCAGCAATTCATTCATCGGCGTCCTTTGCCTGATGATAAATCTGAGACCGTATCTCTGTCTGACATTCTTCTTTTGAAGAAGTCTTAAAATAACATTGCAAGTGTATATCTTTTATTGTTCAGCTGTGAGTGACTGGTATGTGACTTCTAACTTGCATCTCCTGTTTTTGTTACTATATCTGAAAGATTTGGTAGAGAAATCTGACGAGGAACATGTAAATGCTCTTGGCCTCCAGTTAATAGCCGGGTCCAGAGTCACTCTGCTAGCCTCAAAAACATCTCGTGAGTATATACATATCATCATACGTTTTTTTTTCTCCAGAATATCTCCTTGAAATCCATTTCAGGTTTTAAGGAATCATTTAGACATGAAAATTGGCCGAGTTGGAATGTGGATTGTGCAGGTGTGAAATGCATTTCCACATTATTTGGGAACAACTTGATCAACAACATTGCTAGCAGAATTTGCACAATGCACTGCAGCCTCAGTTAGCAGTCTGAAAAGGGGGAAGGGGTGTCTTTTATTACTGAATATCCATTACATTACAAATGATGTTTTTTACAGCCCTGAAACACTCTTATTATATGAGAAAAATAAATATATACACTATATATATGCTTTCCGATTGATCAATCGATTGATCAGTTCCAATCAACGTGGTCACTGGCAATTGTTCCTTTGTTTTTATTACAAATATACAAGCTCCTTATCTGACGTAACAAAAATATACTGTAAAAAAATTGCTAATTGCTAATGCAGCACCCACTGTAAGCAACAGACCCCTATAAGGCACCTTTTGATATTCCTGAACTTTAATCCTATGAAGTATTTATTTTTATTTTATTTTTGTTTGTATTTGGACCAGCGTTACATCAGCTGTCTGTTACACACGTTAATTTTATGCTATGTTATTTCATATTTTTCATCTAACAGAAGTTAAAATGTTCTCTACCACTTTGGCATTGGGCACACTTGTGATCTATTCTATGCAATTAAACATAGGAAAAGTTCATTTAATCGTGTTTGTCTTTTTCTCTGCTATGGAAAGGCACAGCATTTAAATACCTGAAATAGTTTTATTAAATTGTAGTGATACGTATTTTTAATTGTATATAGATTTAGTTTAATATGTTTTTATTTAGAATAATCACAAATAATGGTATGCAGACAATATATCTACAGTATATGCATATTTTGTTTATGTCTCATTTCCCTTAGAGCGGTACCGAATTCAGAGCGAAGCCTTTGAAGACCTCTGGCTGGTAACTAAAGATCTGGTTCGGCGCTTTGAAAAGCATTTTGCCAAGCATGGAATCAGAGACTATCGGTGTAGTTTCACTGGACCCATTCCTCTGCTGGAGTATTTTGAGACAGTAGATCGTCATTTCGAGGTTAGTGCTGCAAAAGTGTTGCAAGTTGAATTAAACTTTACTGCTGGGACCAGAGGCTTGGTTTCATCACATTGTAAACGTCCGTTTACAAAATTAGCTGAAATGTTTGCACTTTCTTTGTATACAAGATCTGCGACAAATTAATTTTGTTGACAATTGTCTGAAGAGACTTACATTTGTACCCTTGTATATAGTTTGAAATTTTACTGAAACAGTCTGAATGAAGTGTCGTGCACCAGAACAGTGCTCCATCTAGCATTTGAACCAACCCATAGCCTTTCAATTACAACTCCAGAGCCCCAGCCACTACTGTACACTGCTGCCAGTGTAATTGATAAAATCAAGGAATTAATAAAAGCAGAGATTGTTTTATGAATATAGAGCTTCACTGAAAGAACAAGTATCAATCACTTTTTTTTAGTAAGCTTGCTTCACAGAAAGGTCTGCAGTGAAATCAATATGTAAGCAATGTATAAAATATCTTTTTATGTAATTATTAAGCATGTGTGTGTAATATTTTGAAATATCTTTATATGCTGAAATATTTCAATAATCTTGTTTTTTTAAATCTCCTGTTGACTTCTTGCAGAAAGAAAGCCGCCCCCACTTTGTTTTTCACTCTTCTGATGGCCTTCTTGCTATCTTTGAATGTTTTCATACAGTCATCATAGGAATTCCTGCTTTACCAGATGTTAGATCATTGTTTTAATATTTATTTTGCAAAATAGCTACATTTTGCCTTGAGGGTCTGTGGTGGTTTTTAAAAAAACAGAGCAATGTCTTGTGATGGTTTAATCATTTTTAAGAAATGATGGTCTTTCACAGTGACATATTTCTATAACACTTTCATTTCATTTTCTGTTCCACCATTCTTCGTACACGTTTTAAAAAATCCACACAGAAGGCTTGGTATGGCATATTTCTCATTTTCTTAATCATACTTGTCCGCGAGGTGATTTAATTAACTGACGTTTCAGACACCACTGGTGAGTGAAAGAACGATGGCTGTGTATGGGCAGTTAACTCGCATGACATTACAGTGAAGGGGCCCTGACTAACGCTCTCTTCAACATGCCCCTCGCTTGTTGGCATGTCTGTGTGTGGAGGTGAAACTGAGGTGAAATTGTAATCAGACATTCCAGCTGTGGGGGAAAAAAACAACAGAAAGTCTGACTGAACTTTCTAATGAGAACGTAACTAGCCCCTTTGGTAATAAGAAGATTCACATTAGCTTCAAAAGCGATGCCTTGTTGCGTTGCAGGTGTTCTAACCCAATGAATGGCGTGCCTTTACAGTTGCGTGTGAATGCAGAGAAATATCAGGACCTCCTGGCGGAGAGAGCAGTGCAGTTCCGAGCAATTCAGCGCAGATTATTAACGCGCTTCAAGGACAAAACCCCAGCGCCCCTGCAAAACCTGGACACCTTGATGGAAGGCACCTACAGACAGGTTGGTTTCTTTCTTTCCATGTCGGAAAAGTAGCCACACATACCTTGCTGCGCTGCATCGAGCAGGGCAGACCTGAACTTCTGAGTCCTGGAGATATATTCAGCAAAAGGAGCTCATACTGATCCAAGCATCCCCCACCCAACACCAGTGCACCTGGCTTTTGTTATAAAGAATTCAGTGCCATCTCTGGATATTGTAGATTAGTCAGTGAGTGGAATGACTCACTTATGATGTACTTCAGGGTCTGATTCTTAGAATATATTATCATTATACTATAATTATAATTATACTATTATGCACTCAAAATAAAACTCTTACGTTATGTTGTTAATGGTTTTTCCCAGTGCAAGCTTTTGTAACAGAAAATCATGTGGTTAAAGCTAAAGAAAATTCATACATGCTCATAATAATTGTTTGGACACTTAGGGCCTCATTCACTCAAAAACAAAATCAGAGTTCCATTGTGGTGTGAGGGAGATGTACAAGATAATGTGCCCTAATTAATTATGTACCACCCAGTTCATTAAGATAAAGATATTGAAAACTGACAAGAAGCTGAATACGTGATCAATGTGTGGCATAACAAGTGGGATTTAACTTGCAGTCGCTTGATAGAACAAGTTGGAAGTTGATTGAATACTGGGGTGTGTTTAAGGCATCAGCATCTGCATCTGCTAAAGTAGTCCTAAAGCAGAGACATGGAGTTCACAAGATAAACATGTTACCATAAAAGAATCTAATGCTTTAATTCAATAGGTGTCCCACTTTATTATTGTATATAGTGTAATGTCTTGCAGAATCTGAGGAATTGGTGATATGATATGTATCATAAATAAGGTCGCTTAGCATACATAGCACAGAGTAGCAGAGCAGCGCACATGACCCAAACAATACAAAGAGCCCTGTTCACATGCATGTTTCCATCCTCTGCTTCTGTTCAGAAGAATGTACCTTCTCAACCCTCATCCTTAGGGACTGCTGTGTCTGCTGGCTTTCTTTCCAACTGGGCCTTTAATCACCAGTGCTAACTGACGCATGTAATTGATCTCCTTGCTTGTTTAGACTTTTTTCTGCATTCGGTCCTTGGTTTCAGAAGTCCTACATACAGAACATCAGACAGTCTCTCGTAAATGTGCTACTTATTTGCTCTCTTAATGCAAGATAAAAGCTCTTATTAGGTGATCGCATTATGATGAACAGTTACAGATGAGAAGGACAATGCATCAAAGACTCCCACAATGAGTGTTTTTTTTCTCCTTTTGCTGAACTTCAGATTTATTATATTTCAGTTAATGTCTCAGGTATCGGAAGAGAGTCATACCAATTACAAACCAATGCTATACAATACAGCCACAACATTTTAAGAACTCAAAGAATAATTATAAACACACTTAAAACAGGTCTTTTAAGGAACCTAATTTAATTTGCCTTTGATTAAGATCTTGACTGCAGCATGCCTCAGATAATACTGTAGTTCCCTAGGACCAATGTTGAGATGTGCTGACTTGGAGAATAACTTTGCCAGTAGGCTAGCAGGTCTTTGGAGCTTTGTTTGAGAGAAGCAAAAAATAGCTATGCACCTATTGAAACAATTCTGTGCTCATGTCTATGTCCTCCATCTGTTTATTGTTTAATTTGCTTTATTTGTACTTTTAATTTGAAGATTTGTAGTAACGTTCTAGATTTCTCACATTCCTGCGTATTGTGTTTGCTTCATTGGTCTAGGGGTAAGACTGTCTAGCAGATTTCTGGCTTGTAAATTGTGGATTTCTGTTTTGTGCTTCTAGTTAAGAGCTGATGTAATATTCCTATTATCAGGGTTGACTCGTGCCTGTGCCAAACTTTCTTGTATTTCACATGGTTGCTAAAACATTGGTTACCTACACATACCTAAGGAATTAATCATTTGGACCTCGTATCTGCTTTCACCTGTGCTCTCTACAACTTTGTCTAATAGCCCTCTCCTGTTTTGTAACCTTTCTTACATCTGCACATTCTTGGTACTCTTGAGTACTTTGAGTCCAAAACTCAAATACAGAATGTCTTTAACATACAAATGTAATGTTTAGTTGTAAGAAAGCACATCTGTGAGGATTATGATTCCAGTTGTGTAGTGGTATTTTCACTGGAAATACTTCTCAATCAATGAAGAGTAATGGGATCTTCTTTGAAGTCTTCTTTTGTAAATAACTCGTTCAATATTGGACATGGATCATAAATCAACCCATTTACACTGTTAGAAAGCAAGTCAGTTTGTCTCACTCACCCATTACAGTCATTGAATCTCCTCAATTACCAGCTTGTTACCCATTTAGATGTGTGAGAAAAACCAGAGAAGTAAAGCGATCATGAGAGGCAGGATGAATTTTTTAAACAACTTATGGATTCAAATGGATTTTTTGTTTGGAACACAGTCATTTTATAGGTGTTTAATACCGTATGCATAATTTTTTATAGTTCACACATTTAGCAAAAATGTGAGGTTCTTAGCATTAGCTGCTATATCTTGAATTCTGCTTGACAGAGTCACTTAAAAGAGGCATTAACTCTCCACACATTATAAATGCAAGTACTTAACCTGCAGGTAATGGAATTTCTTCCCGAGTATTTTGTGGCTGCACCACTTTGTCAGTTCGAAGCCTTGAACATTAAAGAGCTTTCAGGGTGTTTGCATTTACTGTTGAACCAAAAAACATGATACAGTAACTTTCAAATGGTTTAACTCCATTTGCAATTCATCGATTTAGAAGGTTTATCTCTGAAAGCAGCGTGACGGGTTCCAAGATGTGCCTTACAATTACAGGCTTCAAACTGTCCTTATCCAGCACTGCTTAACTCTGCACACATTGTTGCCAACATTTTGTTTACCAATCCCTATAAAGTATTGAGTTGTAGGCTCTTACTGTTTTTCAGAGATTAAGTGTATTTTGTTACCAGGTTTTTTTTTTGGTGGATGCATCTTCAGTTGTTGTCTCATGTTTGATTTAAAAAAAAATGTTTTCATTGTCAACCTCAAATAGATTCTTGGGAGTTGACTACTATCCTACGTACAGTGCAGAGAACTGATTACATTTTTGGAAAAAGCACTGCATTTGGGTATTGTGACTTTATTGCTAAGTCTACAGGATCAGAGAAAATGGATAAGTCACAGAAAACAAATAAGATGTCACTTTGTGGTACTGGCAAATCGCTACTTGTGACTGGGGAAGATACATGCAACACCTGTTGTTCTTTGGGGAAAAACTTGAGTGGTTATTGCTAACTTGTCATACAATCTAACCAGTGCGACAAAAGAAGGGAAAAGCTCTATCTCTCTGTTCCTGTGCCATTGTCACTCTTTCTAAGTCTGTCTCTTTCTCTCTGCTACTGTGAAAGCACTGGGTAATTATTGTCAGCCACAATGGGCGGATTTAAGGGTCTGTTCATTCCACTGGACAAGTGGTTTTTGTAAAAACTAGATTCAGCAGAATGTAATTTTAGCCATCGCTTGTGGAGAAGAATAAAGATTAGGAATAGGAATGCAAAGAGAGAGTCATGTGTAACATGTCCTGTTATTAACTGGTATAACAGTAACACCACCAAAAGTTCCTCTCCCCTTTACAGATAATAGACATTATTGTTATGAAATATGATATACAGTAGTTTTGTATTGTGTCCAACTGTGTTTGTTTTACAACATTAAAACAAAAGTAATAAAGCAGAAATAATGCTAATTAATTTCGTAGTAGTTGAGTAAATCGCCAAGAAATATAACTTCATGCTAATATATAGACCAGAAATGTAAACTCAACTCAATTAATTTTTTACAGTAAGCTTTTCTGACAAAGCAGTTGTAGTATTTCTAGTGTCTGTCTGGACAAACAGAATTATAATAATGAAATCCTTTTGAATGAATGGATGTTGAGGAGTCATTTAGAAGTCTGTTTCAGAAGCAACGTAAAATACTTTTAAATGCATGACTTACACAATACCGTATAATGTATTTTGCAAAAGGTTTTCATAATGTATTGATGAATGTAATTTTAAAAGAAAGTTGTAAATATTGCATCTTTTCCAGCCATGAGCCTTGACTCATTTTAAACCTGTCAGATTAAGTTCTAGTAAATGTGTAAATTTAAAATAACTGCTAATAGTATGATCATCAGGTTACAATTGCCTAAACTCCATTTCTAACTAGAAGTGGACTAATAGGAGCCACAAGAGTTGTAGACATTATAGTTGAAAATGCCAGCATTAGATTCCCCCACATATTTCACTCTTAATTACTCATATTTCTGGCAGAACGTTAAGCAGAAATCTGGACTCTGTGTCAGACAGGAAAATCAAGTGTACTTTGTGATAATTACTGTATCTGACATAATCCCAGGGCAGTCAACTGAATGTATGAAGTTGGTCATTGAAAACTGTAAACTGGCAAAATATTAATGGATGAAACAATATTTCATCTTCTTTATTTCCAATACATAGTATGGATTTACCTTCTGTTTTGAGTCAAAATGCTTAGGTGTTCATATTATCTTTGAAATACAGAAATTGTATTGTAAGAAATCTTATCATGGAAGTCATCCTTTAAATGACTTAGTTTAAATGAACAATTACACCAAAACATGAATGTTGGATTGATCATTTTAAGAACTGATTGCGCAGTGTCCGTGAACTGAAGATGATGTGTTTGATTATTTCTAAAATAATATGCACTGTGCTGTTAAAGTTAATTTATAATCTCTCTTTATATTAAATATTTAATTAATATTGAAATGAGCATTTTCTCTGCAAGTCGATTAATCTTTTTGCAATGAAAGTCTAGCCTTGAAATTAAACAAAATATTTTCAAGCTTTAGAGATTGTGCTTTTTTTGTTTAATCAGCAGTGATTTTAATTTCCACCAGTATACCTCTCTCATTACTTTTATACAGCTGTGTCGTAAGATTTCAATGCTTGACATATCAGTTCATGTAAAACAAGAATGATTTAATTATTAATTAATATTATTTAATTAA